AAAAACTCTTCTCAAAAAAAAAAAAAAGGAAGAAAAAAGTCAACAGGAGAAATTTAAACTTAATTTTAAATAAAATTAAGGAAATAAAACAGATATTGGTATTTAAGTAATTCTTGCAATTAAATGATCTCTAGAACTGAATTATATTTCCAGTAGTACTGTTTTATAACTTCATACATCCACCATTCAATAAACATTAGATGAAAGGAAATGCTTCACAAGAGTTTTCTTGAAGGGTATAACATCTAGAATTTTTTTTTTTTTTGAGAGAGAGAGAGAGAGAGAGAATTTTTTTTTAATATTTATTTTTCAGTTCTCGGCAGACACAACATCTTTGTTTGTATGTGGTGCTGAGGATCAAACCCAGACTGCACTCATGCATGCCAGGCAAGCGCGCTACCACTTGAGCCACATCCCCAGCCCAAGGGTATAACATTTAAACACAGTCCTAGGAGGAAAAAGAATTAGCCACAGGGGAGAGGGGTACGGTGGCCTTGTTCATGTTAATTGTAAAACAATTCTACAAGTCAGGAGTGTACAGTCTAGTTTGACCACTTATAGGAGAGGAAAAGTGGAGATGTTAGCAGAGATTAAATCATGAAGGGTTTTGTAAATGAAGTTTTTATAATTTTTAGAAGTATGAATTGAAAAATAACTTAAAACAAGATTTGAATTTGGTTTGGAACAAAGTTTTCTGACTAGCATTAAAATTTATTATATAATGTCAACTCATTTTTGAATAGCTATTTCAGTTTAGAAAACGTAAAAACCACTGATATATTAAGTTATTATCAAACAAAACTATTGTGGGTTTTTTGTTTATAATTATATAATGAATGCTGATTTGGGGTTTCATCCAAAAGTTATGGGGAGCTAGTAAGAGATTCTGATCAGGGAAACAACATGATCAAATACACACTATAGAACTTTAACAGCATAGAGAGAATGGGTAGAGAGGAATAAGACAAAGATTGGGATTTTAGTTACTGCTATGATTTGGATAAGTGTCTCCCCAAAACTCATGTGTTAAAAATTTGGTCCTGGGTACATGGCACTGTTGAGAGGTGGCAGAATCTTTAGGAGGTGGGGCTTAGTGGGAAATTTTCAGTTCATCAGGAGTGTGCCTTTGAAGGGGATAATGGGATCCCAGTTCCTTCCTCTCTGGCCATGAGGTGAAAAATATGCTCTGCCACTCTCTTACACCATAATGTGCTGACTTGCAACAGGCCCAAAGCACCAGGGCCTATCAGTTATGGGCAGAAACTTGCAAAACTGTGAGCCAAAATAAACCTTTTCTTTTTATAAGCTGACTGTCTCCATGTATGGTATAGTGTTAGAAAGCTAACTGATATAGTTAAATTGCAGAAATCCCAGCAAAGAATGATAAGGACTCAAAACTCACAAAGAAGACTGCTAAATTTGAATGCAGAAGAATTAAAATTAGTTGGGCATAGTGGTT